TGCGCTCGGCACAGTACCCAGCACCCAGTAAAACTCCTCGTAAAAGTTCCCAGAGGTGCAGTTCTCATCTCTGGCTTTCCTGTAGTTGGTCTTGAGCCACTTAATCTGCTCCCTGCACTGGTCATTGGTCTAGTGAATCCCAAATGCTGCCAGCTTCTTTGCTATTAACTGGTATGCGTGGTCATTCCTTTGCTAAAGTCAAAGCGCTTACTTACCTCACACCAGAGATTAACCAAAGTCTGGCTGTGTTCCCATGACCAGTTAGCAGCATGCTTAGCGAAGGATTTCTTCGAGTCAGTGGCCATTACAAACGCAGGGGAAGGTTTATTCTGTGTGCAGCTCAGCAGTCAAAACAAAATGGAAGGGTTCAATGCTGAACAGCTGTACTTGAACCATGGGGTTGCTTCAGTTTCCGGGGAGTCGATTGGCCAGTCTTGGGATAGAAAGGACACTATCCCATTGGATTGTGGGATAGCATTGGTGGACTCTCAGGACCTAAGACAGGGGGCCCAGGCTGAGTTGTGTTCACACTGCAAAATGATGGAATTTGGACCTGTGCCTCCGTGGGACTCTGTCTCAAACCCTCCACCCCTCAGTGTCCTGGGCCCAAGTTAGACACATCAATGGCTATTAGCCAGGATAGGCAGGGATACTGTCCCTAGCCTCTGTTTGCCAGAAGCTGGGAATAGGCGACAGGGGATGGATTGTGACAGATTTATGTTACCAATCTGCCTGGGGCATCAGGTGATCAGGCTGAGGCCACAGGATCTTTAGGGGAGGAGATGAAGAGCACACCAAGTGTCTAAAGTTTAAAGCTTTATTAATAAAATAACAGCAGAAAGTGCTGGGGATCCCCCACGTCACTCAGAAGAAGGAAAAAGCAAAGTGTTAGTGCCCCAAGCTCTAGCCCACTTTCATACTCACACCCGCACTACCCGAGGCTGGCCAAGCCTGGGTGTAACATAAGAAGAACTCGCTGTGGCCTCCTTGGCTTTCCCAAAACACACCGACTTCAGAGACTTTGTTTTCCCCCCCGTTGGCCTTCGCCGTCTCATTCGCTCTCACTGTTCTCACTGCAATCTCTGCAGCCCTGCTCAACTTAGTTCTCCTCTTCTCACGGCTGGGCAGCTGCAGATTTCTCGTCGAGCCCATGACCTTGGACCGGGGTCAGCATCTTATCTTCAGATGGAGCTAGCTGAAGTGTCGAGTTAACCCGTTCTCTGCTCTCTTCCTCCCTCCCCCTTTGGCCTTTCGCAACCTGCAAAGGAATCTTCCACTTTACACTCACACACCTTTGACCCTCCCCCGAAATGCCTTGCAATGCTTGCAACCGCGTTAGCAACATACAATGCTATTTTGCCTCCCCATGGGACCCCCTAAGGGAGGGAGTCCTTGGGCCTGTGACAGGATCACCTGTTCTGTTCATTCCCTCTGGGGCACCTGGCATTGGCCACTGTCGGAGGATAGGATACTGGGCTAGATGGACCTTTGGTCTGACCCAGTATGGCCGCTCTTATGTTCTTATGTTAGATAGATTGAGCGTAGCTGGAAGGGGGATTTGGGGTTGAGCCTGAATCTGAGCCTGGGCTTACATTGCAGTGTAGCTACACCCTTTTATGCTTTTGAAAATGTTACCCTAGGTAAATAACCATGCTCTAGGTCAGTGGTTCTCAAACTTTAGCAACCCGAGGATCCTCCTTTTGATTTAAAAAAAATTGGGGACCCCTAAGCCCCCCACTCAGCTCCGGGCCCCGCCCCCACTCCACCCCTTCCCCCAAGGCCCCACCACACCTCTTTCCGCCCCCCGTTCACTCCATTCCCCCGTCCCTCCATCGCTTGCTCTCCCCCACTCTCACTCACTTTCACCAGGCTGGGGCAGGGGGTTGGGATGCAGGAGGGGGTGCAGGATATGGGAGGGAGTTTGGGTGCAGGAGGGGGTGTGGGGTGTGGGCTCTGGGAGACAGCTTGGGTGCGGGGTATGGGCTCTGAGCTGGGGCACGGGTTTGGGGTGCGGGAGGGGGTGAGCTGTGCGGATTCTGGGAGGGAGTTTGAGGGCAGGAGGGGTGAAGGAGGCTCTGGGGGGGAGTTTGGGTGTGGGAGGAGGTATGGGCTCTGGGAGGGCGTTTGGGTGCAGGAGGGGTGAAGGGTGCAGGCTCTCGGCTGGGGTAGGGGGTTGGGGAGCGGGAGTGAGTGAGGGGAGGCACTTACCTCAGATGGCTCCCAAAAGCAACTGGCACATCCCTCTGGCAGCGTCTTCTAGATGGGGAAGGCAGGTGGTCTCTGCGCGCTGTCCCTTCCCCCAGGCACCGCCCCTGCAGCTCCCATTGGCCTCAGTTCCCGGCCAATGGGAGCTGCGGAGTTGGCGCTGGGGCAGTGTGCAGAGACTCCCTGCCCCCGCCAGGGACGTAGCAGACGCTTCCGGGAAAGGTGCGGAGCCAGGGCAGGTAGGGAGCCTGCCTTAGCCCCGCTGCAGCGCCGGAGTTTTAGTGGCTAAAATCTCCCCGTTTGGCTTCAGTAGCCTCTGGAAGATAGAGGGAGGGGGAGGAGTTGAGGGAGGGAGGGACAGGGAGGAGTTGATCAGCGGGGCCCACGGGGCCCCTGGAGTTCCCTCGGGGACCCCCAGGGGTCCACGGATCCCAGTTTGAGAAACGCTGCTCTAGGTTGATCTCTTTCCCATCTGTACCATACCAGTGACTATCATACATAGAATCATAGAACTGGAAGGGACCTCAAGAGGTCATCTAGTCCAGTCCCCTACACTCATGGGAGGACTAAATATTATCTAGACCAGTGCTCTTTTTTTAGTGGGGGCCACTTTGGCAAAAAACCTTCAATGTGAGAGCCACATGGGGTGGGGCCGAGGGGTTCGGAGTGTGAGAGGTGGCCCAGGGTAGGGCAGAGGGTGGGGTGTGGGGGTGAGGGCTCTGGCTGGGGTGAGGGCTCTAGGGTGGAGTTGGGGATGAGGAGTTCAGGGAGCAGGAGGGGGCTCAGGGCTGGGGCAGAGGGTTGGGATGCAGGGGTCCTGGCTCTGGGGTGTGGCCAGGGATGAGGAGTTTGGGATGCAGGCAGGCTGCCCCGGGGCTGGGGCCAGAGGACTCCCCAAGCCCTCTCTCTGCTGGCAGGCAGCACAGGAACTCCAGGGGAGGGGGCCCTTTTTCCTCCCTGCTGGCAGGCAGCATGGGAGCTCTGGGGGAAGGGGCCCTTTTGCCCCCCAGCTGGCAGCAGGGAGCTCCGGGGTCAGGGAAGAGGCCCATAGCAGCCCTGCAAGCCCCAACTTCCTCCCCTCCCCAGTTCCTGCCCACCCTACCTCTCTCCTCTCCAGTTATTTATAGCCTGCTACGTGGCAACGCAGCTTAGAGGGGATTTAGGGAGCCGCACTTAGGGTCGATGGGAGCTGCCACTGGCTCGCGGGCCTTGCAATGAAGAACACTAGACCATCCCTAACAGGTGTTTGTCTAAGCTGCTCTTAAAAACCTCCAATGATGGAGATTTCACAACCTCCATAGGCAATTTACTCCAGTGCTTAACCACCCTGACAGTTAGGAAGTTTTTCCTAATGTCCAACCTAAACCGCCCTTGTTGCAATTTAAGCCCATTGCTTCTAGTCCTGTCCTCAGAGGTTAAGGAGAACAAGTTTTCTCCCTCCTCCTTATAACAACCTTTTAGGTACCTGAAAACTGTTATCGTGTCCCTTCTCAATCTTCTCTTCTCCAGACTAAACAAACCCAATTTTTTTCAATCTTCCCTCATAGGTCATGTTTTCTAGACCTTTAATCTTTTTTTTTTTTTTTTGCCCTTCTCTGGACTCTCTCCAATCTGCCCAAACTTTCCTGAAATGTGGCACCTAGAACTGGACACAATATTCCAGTAGAGGCCTAATCAGTGTGGAGTAGAGCAGAATTACTTCTCATCTTCTTACAACACTCCTGCTACTACATCCCAGAATGATATTTGCCTGTTTTGCAACAGCATTACACTGTTGACTCATATTTTGCTTGTGGTCCATTATGACCCCCAGATTCCTTTCTGCAGCACTCCTTCCTCGGCAGTCATTTCCCATTTTGTATGTGTGCAACTGATTGTTACTTGCTAAGTGGAGTACTTTGCAGTTGCCCTTATTGAATTTCATCCCATTTACTTCAGACCAAAGACAGGAGTTGCAGAGGGAGCAAAGTAACAGGAATGGAAGATGATTTTGTCAGCAGTTTTTTGGATGGATTAAGGGTGGGCCAGGTTAGTATGGAAAAGACCCAAGGTGATGTGGACGTGGATGAGTAATATGGCTGTTAGGGTAAAAAGGAAGACCGTTCATATGGAATTTAGCACTGGTTACTGCAAAACTGAAGACAATAACAACTCTGCTCTTAGAAAAGAGGCAAATTCTCATGTCTGGTTCATTATGTTAATTGATGGTTAACAAGAGCAAGAGCATGGCAGCTGCACGAGCCCAGCACCTCTCAGGACCAGGCCACATGAAAGGTGTGGACTAGCTGTTTGCACAGAGAATGAGGAGCCAGGAACTCCTGAGCTCCAGCTACCTCATCGACCTCGGGCAAGTCACTTAACCCATACATCCCTCAGTTTCCCCCTCTGTAAAATGAAAATAATACTTGCTTACTTCACAAGTGTGTTGTGAGAATACTTGTGAAGTTCTCTGAAGATGAAAACTCTGGGATAAGTGCTAAAGGTTATTCAACCTGGAGTAAATCGTGACACAAGTAGTTGGGAATATGCTGTAACTGTTTCTATCAATAAGTAATGGATTTCTCATTAACCATTTCTTTGTCTCTCACTGTAATAATGCCTAAAAGCTGCAGTTAATTGATTTATTATTTCTGGGTTCCCTGGTGCCCATTTCTAGTCTCTTTAACACATGAGGATAGATATTGATTCACAATCTTTTAATTTTGGGCCTACAAAATGCTGCTATCAATAAATGAGCCCAGACAAAGGTGGTTAAAACAATTGCCAATTGTTTTATAATCTTGCTGTAGGGATTGGTATCACTTTACAGTAAAATTGCCAAAAAGAGGGCCAAAAATACCAGCATTAACTACACTTTACCTTCAAATACATTTCACTGTTCACATGTGGTAAATGCGTCTTGTATTGTGGAGGTCCTAACTAATGTGCTGTCCAAGATACATGCAGGTTTCCTTTTAGCTCAGACATGGATGTTACAGTAATATAAGGTGACTAAGAAATACAACGTTCAGTAACAATTGAGCAGAACAGTGACCCCATCACTTTCCCCAACACTTTCGATGGACAGGCCTACATTTTCAGAAGTGACTAGTGATTTGGAGCGGCCAATTGGAGACACCAAAAAGGGCCCAGATTTTGACAGGGCAGGTGCTCAGCATTTTGTGAAAATCAGGCCCCTCTAAGGTGTCTCAAGTTGGGCACCCAAAACGTAGTTGCTTTTGAAAATTCAGGCCACAAGACAAATGTCAAGGAAAGACAATAAAATATAGCAGCAGAAATAAATACAGGAAATTCACTACAGTCCGCATTGTAGGCATCTTTTCTTGATTCTCCCTCTCTTCCAACCTCCTCTTCTCTTATCCATTTTATTGCTTTTCCCTCATTTCTATTTAATTTTCTTATTTGAATCTTTCCTTCCCCTGAAAAGCAGCATCTCCCTCCCTCTCCTTCTTTGCCTCTCTCCTATTTGCCCCCCTGTTCTGTTATCTACCTTGCTTGTTCCCCCTAGGTTGCCTCTGTCCCCTTATTCCTCCTCTTTTGCTCTTTCCTACTTTGGTCTCCCTTGTCTCTCTCCTATATTGCATGGTCTCTGGATGGTCCTCTCTTTCCCCTCGTCCCACTCTTTCCTGTGAATTTTCCGTCTCTCTACCACCAGGATATTTGCCTCTTCCCTCACACCTCTGGTTTCCATTCTTTTGCCCCTTCCCTCTTTTTCCTGGGGATCCCCTTATTCCTCCATTAAACTTTGCAGGCTCCTTGCCTATGCAGTGCCCTTTATTTTTCTCCCTTGCCCCATTACCCTAGTCTGTGTCCAGTTCCTCTCTTCTCTACCCTAGGATCTCACCAGCTTCTCTTTCCCCCCACTCTAGCATTCCTCCGGTCCCTCTCAGGTGAGAGGGAGTGTACAGCTGATGCTGTCATTGCTGTATGTATGTGTGAAGAGGGATGTGTTGATGAGCATGGGAGCTGAAGCCAGATCACATAGTATTGGGATAACTATGTCAGCTATGGGTGTGATATTTTACCGAAATAGCTATACCAGTATAACCTATAGTGTGGACACAGTTATACCAGTATAAAGGTGTCTTATATCACTATTGCTTATTCCCCAGGCCCCTTCCCATATGGGAAAAAGCTCTACTGGGATAAGCACGTTATATGGCTATAACTGCACCCACACTAGGGGAAATGTGCCACTTAACTATACTGCTACAATTTTTCTATGTAGACAAGGCCTTATTACAAGATTATTTGCCCAATATGTTAATTTGAGGTAAAAAAACATCAATAAACCTGAGTGGCTGATCTGTACCTGCCAATGCCTGCAAATAGACAGGTTTGGCAATCACGCCTTTACACATTCAACACCTTCTAGCTGGAGCGCTCTGTCATTAGAGCTGATCAGGTGTCAATATAGATGGCTTTATTATTTTATTGTACAAAATATAATACATGGTCTATATTGTGGTACTTTGAGTTTGCTGGAACAAAATAATTGTAGGCTTGGTAACACATGGAGGTGCCTGCCCTGACCCACGTCCTCCAGAAAGAGAGATGTTGCTTTTCATTGGGGCTATCCTAGGGGAAAAAATATATGGAAACAGAAATTAGTACAGATTTTACTTGGCAGGGGATATTTTTAAACAGCCTTTGCCTCAGAATTCTAGCACATTTTATATTTGTAAGGAAGCAGGACGAGACAAAGAGCACAGTGTGTTGAAATCCACTGTGGAGCACTGCACACAGCACAACATGCGACCTTTGAGGGAAGGAGAGTAACAGTGGAGGTTGGGGAGGAAATAAGTTGTACATACTGTGTATGTCTGTGTGTAAGCCAACAATTTATGGGCCCCCCAAAAATGAGTTCTTAGGGGATCACTAATAGTTTAATCACAGAATCACATGCCCAGGCAGGAGGAGAGAGCTGCTACAGAAGAGCTGAAGCAAGTCCTGCCTGGAGTGCCCACTCCCCAGCCTGGTGAAGAGGAGCCCTACTTAACCACACAGTATGCAGACAGTATGAACTCTGCATGCTCCCCCTGGCCCTAACAGCACTGCCCTGACAGACCTTATAAACTCTGTATGCCCCTGAGCTTGGCAACTTTCTCCCCACTACAGAGTCTACAAATTCCTCAGGAAGAGAGCTGCTGGGCTTAGTGAGAGTGCTATGCTGATAGCTGGGAGAGGACAGGCCCATTGGACTGAAGAGGCCCCTTGGGGATTGTAAGGGAAAAGAGAAACCTCACCAAGCTGCCCACTACCCTCCCAACATACAAAGAGGGAAATGACTGAGACCTCACCCCAACTTCGTATCTCCCCAATGGGAGATGTGCAGAGGAAGGGGGTTACTGCAGTCCAAGACCTGAAGAAAAATCTGAATCCCATGAAGACAGGAGAGCAAGTGTGACCCAGGATCCACATAGAGCTATTGAGATCCATCCACCAACATGAATAAAAAGTAAGTATTCTGCATCTTCAAGCAAGGTCCTTAGCACATGAGCTTAAGGTGGCTCAACAAAGCAACACTCAGCAGCTTTCCTATGTGAGGTCTGCAACCTAGTGCCCTGCTACTTGCTGAAGGAAAAGAAGGGGTTGGTTGAAATGTTAAAAAATATTATAAAACAGTGTCATCCAAATGTTGCAAAATGAGGTGTTACAGTTGAAATCTACTGATTACTGTCTCTTACTTCTTATTCCTCCGTGCCTGGAATAGTACTTGGGCTGTGAAAGTAAACTGTTTCTGTTCTGTGATGCTGGCTTCAAGCCTCCCACGGAGAAATTTCTTTTCACACTCCATATTCCTTCCAGAGCCACTGTTAATAATTTATTAGAATAATACCATTAAAACTGATCATTCTAGCTTGGTTTGTTTTACTTTTCACCTAGGCTGCTGTAAAAGAATTAATATAAACCACTTTTAAAATAAATATCTTTGGTCAACGTAATGAACAGAAACAACATAATATACTACAGACGAACACTACACAAAAGATATAGCACACAATTAACTTAATATACTTTATTTTTATAACATTTTGGATCAACAGTTATTGAATTTAAGGTTTTCATTAACTCCTTTCCCAAACAACACCAAGAGAAGCTCTACAAACTCATCCTCCAAGAACCCACACCAGGGACCTTCTACCAGCCACAGCACTCTTACTAAGGAATATAGGGACTCATAGAAACCATTCTCAAACCACTCACCACACAAAGGCCCAGCTTCCCCCAGGACATAATGAACTTCCTCCACAAATGCTGCAACATTAACAACTTCTGTCAATACACCATCCTTGCCACCATAGTTGTCACTTCCCTTTATGTCAACATCCCTCACAAGGACAGCATAGCTATTTGCCTCAAATATTTACAAGACAAGGGACGACTCTCGGCTATCCACCCCAAGCACATCACTAAACTCATCAATTTCATCGTCATCCATAACAATTTTACATTCAACAACAAACACTTTGTCCAAACCCTGGGAACAGCCAGGGGTACGAGGACAGCTCCCCAATATGCCAACCTCTTCATGAGCCACCTTGAAGAAGAATTTCTGGACAAATGCACTACAAATCAATGATACACCTGAGATACACTGAGGATATTTTCATCCTCTGAAGAGATAACTTAAACTCCCTCATAGATTTCCACCACAACTTCAACAGCCATCACCAGTCCATTAAACTCTCTCTAGAACACTCCCTACCAGCATCAACTTCCTAGACACCACGATCAGCTTCTACAATGGAACCCTACAGATAACTATATACAAGAAACCCACAGATCACCACATCTACCTTCATAGATCCAGTAACCACCCCAAACACACCAAGAAATCTGTTATCTACAGCCAGGCAGTCAGATACCACAGAATATGTTCTGAGGAGAAAGTCTGGGATATTCTCCTTAAAACACTCAAAACTACCTTCACCAACCATGGACACTCCACCAGAGAAGTAGATTGCATCAGGGAATGGGCCTCCCAAATACCCCAAGAGAATCTGCTTCAATACAAAAATAAAATCCCTTCTGACCGCATACCATTAGTTGTCACCTACCACCCCACACTGGAATCCACATGGGGTATAATAAGGCTAAGATTTTGTCATGGGTATTTTTAATAAAAGTCACAGACAGGATGCAGGCAATAAATAATAAATCACGGAAGCCCGAGCCCCCCAACCTGGCGCCGACAGCCTGAGCCCTGCTGTGCAGGGCTGAAGTTATGGAGGTCATGCAAAATCATGGAATCTGTGACCTCCATGACCAACTCATAGTCTTAGTGTATCATCATCCTTTGGAAGACCAAAGACAGGGTAGGCCCACTGCTTAGTGAAGAGGGAGAAACAGTAACAGGAAACTTGGAAATGGCAGAGATGCTTAATGACTTCTTTGTTTCGGTCTTCACCGAGAAGTCTGAAGGAATGCCTATCCTAGTGAATGCTAATGGGAAGGGGGTAGGTTTAGCAGATAAAATAAAAAAAGAACAAGTTAAAAATCACTTAGAAAAGTTAGATGCCTGCAAGTCACCAGGGCCTGATGAAATGCATCCTAGAATACTCAAGGAGCTAATAGAGGAGGTATCTGAGCCTCTAGCTATTATCTTTGGAAAATCATGGGAGACGGGAGAGATTCCAGAAGACTGGAAAAGGGCAAATATAGTGCCCATCTATAAAAAGGGAAATAAAAACAACCCAGGAAACTACAGACCAGTTAGTTTAACTTCTGTGCCAGGGAAGATAATGGAGCAAGTAATTAAGGAAATCATCTGCAAACACTTGGAAGGTGGTAAGGTGATAGGGAACAGCCAGCATGGATTTGTAAAGAACAAATCATGTCAAACCAATCTGATAGCTTTCTTCGATAGGATAACGAGTCTTGTGGATAAGGGAGAAGCTGTGGATGTGGTATACCTAGACTTTAGTAAGGCATCTGATACGGTCTCGCATGATATTCTTATCGACAAACTAGGCAAATACAATTTAGATGGGGCTACTATAAGGTGGGTGCATAACTGGCTGGATAACCGTACTCAGAGAGTTGTTATTAATGGTTCCCAATCCTGCTGGAAAGGCATAACGAGTGGGGTTCCGCAGGGGTCTGTTTTGGGACCGGCTCTGTTCAATATCTTCATTAACGACTTAGATATTGGTATAGAAAGTACGATTATTAAGTTTGCGGATGATACCAAACTGGGAGGGATTGCAACTGCTTCGGAGGACAGGGTCATAATTCAAAATGATCTGGACAAATTGGAGAAATGGTCTGAGTTAAACAGGATGAAGTTTAACAAAGACAAATGCAAAGTGCTCCACTTAGGAAGAAAAAATCAGTTTCACACATACAGAATGGGAAGAGACTGTCTAGGAAGGAGTACGGCAGAAAGGGATCTAGGGGTTATAGTGGACCACAAGCTAAATATGAGTCAACAGTGTGATGCTGTTGCAAAAAAAGCAAACGTGATTCTGGGATGTATTAACAGGTGTGTTGTGAGCAAGACACGAGAAGTCATTCTTCCGCTCTACTCTGCTCTGGTTAGGCCTCAGCTGGAGTATTGTGTCCAGTTCTGGGCACCGCATTTCAAGAAAGATGTGGAGAAATTGGAAAGGGTCCAGAGAAGAGCAACAAGAATGATTAAAGGTCTTGAGAACATGACCTATGAAGCAAGGCTGAAAGAATTGGGTTTGTTTAGTTTGGAAAAGAGAAGACTGAGAGGGGACATGATAGCAGTTTTCAGGTATCTAAAAGGGTGTCATAAGGAGGAGGGAGAAAACTTGTTCACCTTAGCCTCTGAGGATAGAACAAGAAGCAATGGGCTTAAACTGCAGCAAGGGAGGTCTAGGCTGGACATTAGGAAAAAGTTCCTAACTGTCAGGGTGGTTAAACACTGGAATAAATTGCCTAGGGAGGTTGTGGAATCTCCATCTCTGGAGATATTTAAGAGTAGGTTAGATAAATGTCTATCAGGGATGGTCTAGACAGTATTTGGTCCTGCCATGCGGGCAGGGGACTGGACTCGATGACCTCTCGAGGTCCCTTCCAGTCCTAGAATCTATGAATCTATGAATCTATGAATCAAACAACTACCAGCCCATACTTGATGGGGATCCCATTGTGAAAGACACACCAACTCAAAGTGGCACCAGACCCTGCCAGAACAACAGATGCAAAACCTGCAGACATATCTCCACTGCTACAATGATCAGCACCCCCTACAAAACACCTTTCAAGATCCATGGTCCTACACATGTCTATCACATGTCGTGTCAGGGATGCTAGAAAAAATTGTATAGTGGGGGTGCTGAGAGCCATTGAACCAAACTGTAAATGATGGAAACCACTTCAAGCCAAGGGGTGCAGCAGCACCCCAAGTTCCAGCACCTATGTGTGGCATACCTCATCCAGTGCACTAAATGCCAAAATAGCAACTATGTGGGTGAAACCAGACAATCATTGTGCTCTGGAATGAACTTACACAGGAAAATGTTAAAAGACAACAACAAACCTTTTGTTAAAACACAAAAACGTCCAGTGGGTGAACTCTATATCTGACCTATCAACCCTCATCCTCAAAAGAAACCTGCACAGCACTTTCAAAAGACAAAGCTGGGAGCTCAAATTCATTACTCAACTAGACACCAAAAATTATGGATTGAACAGAGATGCTGGATTTATGGCTTATTACAACAATCTGTAACCCACTAACCCCTATCCTATGACTGCAGAGGTGTTAATGGGCCACTCTAGCTTGAATGGTCCCTTATACTATGGGCTAACTACCTATGCTAAACACTCTATTCCACCTGGCATTTTGCTGTGACTCTGGGAGTTCCTTTTCCAGACCTGAAGAAGAGTTCGGTGCGGCTTGATAGCTTGTCTCTCAGGACAAGTATACACTTAAAACGCTACAACGGCGCATCTGCACTGAATGCAGCTGCGCCACCGTAGCACTTCAATGAAGATGCTCTACACCGACAGGAGAGAGCTCTCCCGTCAGCATAGTTAATCCACCACCCTGAGAGGCGGTAGCTATGTCAGCAGAAGAAGCTCTCCCACCGACATAGTGCTGTCTACACCGAGGGTTAAATCAGTATAACTACGTCGCTCAGGGGAGTGGATTTTTCATACCCCTGAGCGATACAGTTATACCGATATAGGTCTGTAGTGCAGACCAGACCTCACCAACAGAAGTTGGTTCAATACATTACCTCACCCACCTTGTCTCCCTATTAAGGGTACCTTTCAATTCCAAGTGTGCTGATGATTTATGTTACAATAGAAACAGCCTTTCTATATCTTCTCCCATCTAAAGATAAAGTCTTTTTATCAAAGATGATTGCCCATCCAGCCCCCTGAAAAATCAAGAGCTTCTGCAGGAAATATCAGGATGAGAGTGTGCAGATAGGAACAAGGTTTTTAGACTGACATTAACTCAGGTACAAGCATATTTTAAAATAACAGAAAATTCAACTCTCCTTAAGATTGGAGAGATTTTTAAAAAGGAATAACTCATGTAGAGAGAGTTTTATTAATAGGAATTCAGACTGATTTTACCCTAGTACTGTGACGATATTAAAGAGCATGTTGTAATGATTAAAGAAAAAGCCTTTTGTGATACTACGTATGAGAAGCAAGACACTATTACAATTAACTGTATAAGCCTATTAAAAGCTAAGGACCCAGTCCCATATTATACTGTGCATTCGTAGTTGAGAACTCTCAGTACTTTCCTGGATCAGATCCTCTAATGGTCTTGTGCGGATTTAAATGCATTTTACTAGCCCCTGCCTGTTGCGGAATCAGACAGATACCTCATTAATGTGTTTGTTCAAACAACCATTTACATAAGGGAAGCGAATGTGTCATATACACTTTATATATGGATTCCATTACAGAATGGATGGATGGACCTGGTAGATATGCTGTAAAAGCAGACTTCCTGGATGAACTAAGTAGGTATGATAGATTCATCAAATAATTTTAAAACTAACATTTAAAACAAACAAAAATAACACATTGGTTTTAATGTTTGTGCAAATGTTTGATTAAAATGTACTGTAGGTACAATCTTGCACCTGCAGGGAGATGGGCTGAATGACCTAGATGGCCTTTTCCGTCTCTAACATCAATGATTTTATGCTACCTAACATTTCACAGCTAGACAGCAATATTGCTAGATGACAGTGTGATTCTCACAGTCAGATGGAAAACATTCAAAATCTCACTAATGTATAAAAGGCAGGTTAAATGAGGAGTTGAAAAGGATTAAATAAAAATGTGGAAGAACAATAAAGAGGTTTATATTTATTATGTGGTGACTCAAAGTCCTGTAGGTGCAGATTCATTTACCTTCTAGAAACTGCTCTTGCATTCATTGTGAGTTTGGCCAAATCTGCAATTGCCCATTGGGCAGGAAAAAAACAGCCTGAGAGAACAGATTGCAAAAAGGAACTGTTTTAAGCTTCATTTACCAATAATCCTTCACTTCAGCTACCAGTCAGATCTGCTGGGTTTAGCTGTAGGAATACATAGTCATGAAACAACTGTAATATAAAGGTTAAACAATAATTAAACAAGCAACAAAAAAATATGCTGAGATGCCTTTCAGTGTTGTCAATGGAGATTTCGAAAGCAATTTAATAATTAAAAGCCAGTTAGTGACATCAGCTAACAAAATGTTCCAAGAATGTTTCAGTGATTTCTGCCAAACACCCTCCTTCCTTATTCCCAATCTGGTATATTAGTATGGATCTTTTTAAACTGCAATGCAATGCGATCCTCTCATGCCTGGAGGGCAAAAACTTGCCTTCCTAGCCCACTCGAAACTCACTCTGACTTCAATAGGAACATTGGGTATGTATGCAAGATGTGCAAGATTCGGATCTTGAGTCTGCAAATTAGTGGTCTCACCCTCTTTGTCCACAGACCATTGTAATGTTGCATAATAATAAGGACTTGGTAGGAGTCAGGAACTCTTGCCCCAAAGCCTCCATTCAGGGTGGAGGAAGTATGGTTGTTCTTCACAGAAAGGGAATTTAGGGTATATTGGGAACACACAAGATTAATGTTTAGCAATCAAACTGTATGGTAGAAGAGTTGAAAACATAGCCTCCCATGTCTTCACTGGAAAAAAGGTTGTGTTTTTATGCTGCGATAGCCATGAATGTAAAATCCTAGTGGTTTTTAACTCAATATAGCTAGTTCCCAAGGGACTTGAGTAGCTATATTAGTATAGCTATAGGTAAAACTACCTATGTCATGTCTCATAGTTTTCTCAGTGTAAAAAACACACCTTTTTTGCAGTGAAGATAAAACCTGAGTTACAGTGAATCTAGAAGAGTGGGAAGATGGAAAATACTTCTTAGACTTACCTCTGAATTTAGCTTTTGGTCACATACAAGCTTGCCAGAATTAGATTTTTTTTTAAATAATTTTGATGGATAATACCAATATTTGTTTTTAACCATGTTTTTATTTTTACTGATTTGAATGTTTACAGTTGCAGGAAATCCTGGGCCCCAAATTTCCTGGTGCCCTACGCAGCTGCGTAGTTTGCATATGGGTAAGGATGGCCCTGACTGTACACTTTGTATTCTGTGTTATAATTGAAAACAATATTATTTGAAAATGAAGAAAAACATCCAAATATATTTATAATAAATTTAAATTGGTATTCGATTATTGTTTAACAGTGTGATTAAAACTGCAATTAATTGTAACTATTTTTTAATCTTGTGATTAATTGCAATTTTTTTTAATCGTTTGACAGCCCTACTTTATAGGTGTTAAAAGACAAATTGTCAACATCGTATATCAAAATATTCAAAGTACATATTCTTAAATCAAACTCTAATAAGTTCTTTAACACCATTATCTTACTTTGCCTATAGGTAAATTTTGTTTATTATTAATGGAAATATTTTTCATCAGTTTCTGTATGTACAGTGCAATCAACATTTACGGATAAAAATCTAATCCTACAAAACCAAGTCATATATCAAAAGGAAAAGTACAGTATAACAGTAGCATAAGTGAAACCTATCCAGAAAATGACTATTACAGAAGCACCCTCTTTATGTGATATACAATCATTAGACAGGATGCTACAGAAGAAACAGTAGCCTTGTTTGTGCAGGACAATTTTAGTTTCAAATGATGGGATTTGGGAAACTGTTAATAGATTCAGGGAGACACAAATCAAGACTGGAAAGATCTTAAAGAATAAAATAGCCACAAGGATATGTTTTTGAACATGTGACTTAAAAACAGACAGATCATATGTTCTTAAAATGATTTTAACTAGGTATAGACTGGAGCATATTAATTGAAGAAAATGATACTCAAGGTATGTTTTGAGACCTGGTATAGGATTTATTTAAACTCACTCTGGGTCTTATCCAGAAAGTACCCTTGGGACCATGCAAGCCCTAAAAAGTTGCTGCAGATCCTGGTTCTGTAGCAGTCTGATTTGCTCAATGGAAAGACTGAAATGTCCTGGAAACCGATACATTAAAAATAACATTTATATCCCAAGTGGCAAGTTGCAGAGCTGACTGGGAAGCAGAGATCTCTTTGCCTCTTGTAGTCTAGGTGTCATATTTTAAAACACTCTTCTGCCCCTTGCGATTACATGTCAAATGGGAATTCAAGAGTAGCATAAACCTCTTGAATGACCACAAGCAAATCAGACAAGTTCCTAAATCCATGGTCTCAGTGGCTGCAATTTAATTTAATAAAATATGGAGTTAGAAATATGCTGAACTCAGTGTTTAAGAAATAAAGTTAAAGAGCTATTTTCTCTGTGTAATGGTGTCAAGAAGGTAACAGGTATATTTGTGATAAGAAAATTTGATAAATATCAGATTACTGAACCACATGGTCTTTTCCAGGTTCTACATTGCTATAATGTCAAGCTGATCAATTGCTTGGACTTCTATGTGCTTTGTATGTTCCCCAAGTTTTAGAACGATGAAACAAATAACGGGCCATAAGGATTTCTCCAAGTTCTGTACATTCCCATAAGGATGATAATCAACATCGTGGTTTTGCTTTAATGAACTGATCCGGTTTTCAGCATACTCTCTCATCAGCATTTTAGATTTCATTTCCCAAACAAACACTTCTCATTTTCTGACTATAGAGATTACCTGCAGCTGGATGTTTAATTTGGCATCCATCTCTCCGAAAATAAAGCTCTTCTTCAAGTACTTCCTTAACTCTCTTAGGTGGCTCAACATATACAAATTTCTTCCCTGTTTGCAAAACATATTGCAAAAAATTGGTTACTTTAAAGCCCCAAACTGTTAATGTACATCTTGTTTGATCCTAGTCTATTGGTGTTTTTAATACCCCTTCCCACTTCTCATCATTTAGAGATATCCAGTGGTATGCAGTCAGGCCCAGATATTCCAAGCTTGGGTGGTACTGTGGCTCCCAATATTATGGCCATAGGGGAACTGTTTGCAAACCTTTGCAGGGTTCAGAAAGTGCAAGACTGTGCTTGGATTCACTGAACCACCGTGACATGGCACTGCAACTTTTGAGACTATGGTACAGTATATCTACACTGCAAACAGCAGTCTGTGGCAGTGAGCCTTGGAGTCCGGGATCTACAGACTCAGGCTCGTGGGGCTCATGCTACAATGCTAAAAACAGCTGAGTAGACATTGCAGCTTGTGCTAGAGCCCCTACCCGTTTGCTCCCCAGGGCCTCCGTGAGCTGCAATTATTTTTAGCACTCGACGATCCAGTCTGTAGACCTGGGCTCTGAGACTTGCTGTCACGGGCTGCCATTTGCAGCGTACATGTACCATGACCCCATGATGTTGTTCCAGCACATGAAGAACCCAGGGGAATAGCAGTGCAGGGGGATGGAGCCCACTGAGATACCCAGCATAAATGGACAGGTCACACCCCTGCCCAAGGAAAAGACAGTGTCCTCGGCAGGGTGGGGATGTCTGAGACTCCCTGGGGAAAGCTACTGTTCACTACAGGGTGGGGATGGGGTAGGAAAAGACCCATAGGAGGAAGGGTGAAGGGGCAGCAGAGACTACACAGGAATAGTGTGGTGACCTTCAGGGAGATGTGGGGAGACTCCCCCAAGGAAAGGCACTGCAGGAAAGGATGAGCTGGGAAGGGGGGAGACCACTAGGACAGTGGTCTTCAATCTTTTTTCATGTGCGGACCCCTAAAAAATTTCAAATGGAGGTGCGGACCCCTTTGAAAATCTATTGTCTGTATATATAGTTGAACAGATTCAGTCACTTTTCAGTCTAAGTCTTTCATGGAATCCTTAAACATAGTCTATGGACCATCAGGGGTTCATGGATCAAAGGTTGAGAACTACTACACTAGGGAAAGGATAGTGATTCCTGGAGAGTGATGGGGTGTTTGGGACCCATGGGGAGGCA